TACATTGTTTCTCTCCCTTGGCTCAGAGTTTAGTGGTTGCTTATACTGGGTGAGTACGTTGATGTGCTGGCGCAACGTGCAATCACGCAGTAGCATCATACACGCTTAGCGACTCGAGTGAAATTAGAGAATTAGGGAAATTTGCGATTCGTCGATTGCGTGCCAAAGGAGCAGATGGGAATGGATCGACTCCGGTCGCTAGTGACCTAGGAGAGCAGGAGAATCTGCGAATTGGAAGAACGCGCTCACGACAAAAATCGATCGATTATATCTATGTTGGCGCGCTTCTTTCCAAAATTTCGGATCGCTAGTGCTCTTACTCTCGTTTGCTCCCGAGTAGTCATATCAATGCTCGTGCTCTTCTTTCGCGTATGCTTTCGCAAAACGTCAAGTCGCCGATTATCCTATTCGCCGAGTGGCAAAGTATAAACGAAGCTTGCTGTTTCTGAGAGGCTATGACCGATAAATGTCATTTAAAGTGCGCACTCGAAAGTGTTTACTTCTGTTTGTTGTCTACCGCCTGGCTTATCTTAGTGGCGACTGCTTTTAGGCTTTAATGTGTTGTTCTTCAACGCGATGAAAGTTTTTGCATAATCAGAACTTGCTTTTTTCAGCTTTGCTCAGCGAGGCTTATTGGTTATCCAACAGAATACAGATCTGCGGTGCAAACATCTGTGCACAAAGCAAGAAGAGATGTGGTACGTTATCACAATGATTCTTCAATCTTTATTTTGCTGTTTGAACTTTGTCAACTAGTTCAGTAACATGCTGATTATACATTGGAAACCTTTAGATAGAAAACTGTAGTGTGGCTCGTTTGTTAATTCTTTCGCAGATCCATACAGTGATTACGACCGTTTAGTACAGAAATAGAAAGTAACATATCCTCTGTCGCAAACCTTGCCACAACCTTCTGGCCTGAGACTGCGTTTACACTCTGCGAAGGCATTTTGAGCGTACCGAAGCGTTTTGAGCGTGTGGCAGCGTACGACAGCGTTCCGAGAGACTAGGAAAGTATAGATGTTGATTTACCGTTTTCAGTGACTGTCCGCGAAAAGTTGAAAAATACCCGCGAAACGCTGAAAACGCTACCAGAAAAGTAGGATTTTGTTAGGTTGGGGTGATCAGATCACCCATTAATGCGATCAGAGTGATTGAGTTCAAGTTGTCCGTAAACCCTTAAGCGCAGTGACGTGTTTCGCGATCGAAAAATAGCTAGAATTTCACGTAATCCTTGTGGATGGCATAAAAACAGTGCGCGCGAACGTCTTCCCGGTAGGACCCAACTGTCACCAGCTGTCACATTTATTAAGGACCGCGCGTAATATTTGCGGGTGGCGGTAATGCCACTGCGTCAGTTACATCAGGACTATCATGGTTATGATCAGGTATTTTTAGAAGGCTTTGAAACTTGAAAAAAAGAATAAGAAAGCCCAGGAAAGAAAGAATTTTGTTCGACTATTCATAAAGGACTTTCATTTCTTTAAAGGCTGGGCAAAGATGTTGCGAAAAATACGAACAAACTCAGATGTTTCAGAATTATCCATTTTTCTAAAAAGCAATGTTTAAGCTACGTCAACAACTAACTGAAGATGAGCTGAAAGCCAAGTGCTACTGGGCAGCAAAGGAGCAGGCAGAGAAGACGCGTACATCAGCACTGAAGGAGAAGGTAGAGTTTTTTCATTCGAACCGTTTTACTTCCTCAGGCGTTTTCTAGTGGGGAAGTTAAGTAATTTCAATCCTACCACTAAAACATCATTGTATGTTCAAATACTGTCCCTTCTTTTGACATTTGACTTTATCTTATTCTTTTATCTCACAATTATTCCTCCCCATTCGATCGCTTCCTCGTTATTTCTTCAGTCGGTAACACCAAGTTCATAATTTGTGAATGTGGAAATTTAAAGCGCCGATCCTGTAGATGGTGGCGTCAGTGGAGTCTCTTGGACCGCACATTCCCCACATATGCAAGATGCAAACGCGACATAAGATAACTTGAATGCATTTCTTTCCGTCCAATTCCATAGGTCCCGTATAGCTGCTAACGTAATTGGGAGGAGGGGGGGGGGAAGACTGTTTTACTTATGTATTTCTTCCCCAAAAAGCTCAAGCTTAGAGCGTAGACCTTCCAGAGCTACCATGTTCTTCGTCTGTACTTGTTTATATTGTTTGTTTGCCGTTAACAGTATTTCAAAAAGATCTGCCCTTTTTCTATTTTGTGTTTATCATGGTTCCGTTCCTGTGTATTCTTCCATGTATTCTTTCAACTGCTATTCCCACCTTTTCAGCCGTGCTTATAATTTCTCTGTTTGCCAAGCATTCCCTTTTGTTAGCTTTACGGCTTCTTTATGCGGTTACCTCGCAGTGTTGATGTAATCGTGCTGATTCAGAAATGGCAAACAAGGCTGACAGACGAAGAAAGGGCCACTATTGAGAAGGGGATTGAGGTAAGGCCGATGGTTCTGTAGTTATTCTATTTTTACCAAATTCATGGTTCAATCCACTTTTTCCAGGAAATCGCTGCGAAATTCAGGAATGGTGAAACTGAACCTGATGTCAAAGAACTGTTTAATAAAATCCATTTGACAGAGAAGTGAGTAATTCTAATTCTCATGTAATAACTATGACTTTCGTTGCAGATAACAGAGAAAGCCCAATTCTGCTTATAGGGAAATATCCTCGATTATCACGGCAGCAAAGAAGCGAAATGTGTTTAACTTCAGTTCTAGCCGGAAATCCTCAGGCAAAAGAGGCGTGAGTATTACTTGACTAGATGCATTTGTTTACTAGTAGTTCTCATTGCTTTCAGCCCGTGAAAAAGATCAAGAGAAATATTCATCTTCAACCGGATTCTGTTTATGAGAGATCAGAGTTCGAACCGCATGAGACCGAGGTTTGCTAATTTAGACATTTCCATTGTTTTACAGAAAAATACTGTGTAAGTAAGAAATTCGAATGTCCTCTCTCTCGCAGTGCTGTTGCAATGGTTTTAGTGGAGTTTTACTCAGAGAACTTTGGAAAATTATTATCTCAAATAACCTTGTATCACCTTTGGCCTTCCATCGCGCAGCTCATCCGTTTGCCTTTGGTCGCCGATTTTTTTCATTGTCTCAATTTGTCTCGATTTTTTTATCTCATTATTTAATTTAAATTTTCTCAAAGACAGATCCTGCTCTTAAACAGTTCGTAGCATTTCTTCCTTGGTTCGCTATGGGGGTTCTGTATGCGCATTTCGTGCGGTTTTTTTGGTGCTTTTCTTTTACTTTTGGTTTATTTACCATTTTGTCATCAGTATTTGGGTCACACAACTTATCATTTTGAACTCGGGCAGCCATTGACACTTCCAATTGTTTCGTGGGCCTTCAGGCGAGAAGTATAGAGTGTTAGCAAGGCATTCCTTAGTGCTGATCTGGACAATGCGCAGCGGACATTTGTTGCTAACACTGAATCTGTCATTCTTGAATATAAGTGTTCCGTTTGATATTTCC